GTGGGGCAAGATCTTGAACTTTCAACTGGGTGAGGAAAATCGGGAAGCTTTCAGATTCAGGTTTTCCCAGATGTGCCAACATGGCTCTCTAAATAAATTAGAACTTTGAGCAATACTTTGCCTTGGACTCTGATTTACATTTGGATGCTATTTGGAACCCTGACAATGAGTTTGATCTTCGCACTGGAATAATATTGGAACCTCCGAAAGAAATCAACATTTAATTCTGCTTTGACTCCAGCCCAGTGTAAAAAAAAAAAAGAAATAAAAAACAAGTTGTTTCCACCCACCCACTCCTGGAGGCTCACCTGTTTATTGCATGGATGGGTGGTGGAGGAGCACAAGATAATCTTGCACAGGCGTAATAATCACCAATGGATTCAATAATGCTAGCAACCACAGCGCTGAGCATCCCAATCACACCGGCAGCTGAAATGGTTGGTAATCCCCACTGAACTGTAAATGCAAAGAGATTCAATTTTATATTGATGTAGGGTCCATCCAATGATGAGCTTCCAGGCTAACCAACTGTGGTCTAATTAACTGGCATCCAGATGTTTTCTCAGAATCCGTGGCTGGCATTTTCAGAGAGAAAGCAATCTGCTCGGTGGCTCACAGGCAACTGAGCAATAGCGCTCCTGTGTGTGTAACAGAACTGGAGTTTGTTAATCTGCACCCACTCTTCTTGTCAAATTCTTGGGGCTCTTTATAAATCTCAATAGCTTCTCTATGTACCTGTGTGTGATGATTTGTCATGATTGCTAATATTTGTAGATCTTTAGATTTAAAATTGTGCCTGTGATGTAAAAGGAACTTGTGTTCAGCTATTGCTGATATTTCAAGATGTCTCAGTTGGTAACATCTTTTATGTTCTGCTAGCTCAATACTCTGTTTTAGAGTCCCAATATATACCTGTACACAACTACAAAGGAGGTGATAAAATGATAATGCAAATTGTAGATGACCAAATCATTTCTTGGATTTTTCTTGTTAGTTTAGGAAGCGAGTCTGAAGTGAGCCTTTACTTCATTAAAAACCACAGTAAGGAGGTTCAAGTCAAACAGACCAATCAAAGGCAGCTCTTTTCAAACCAATTACAACTTAACCTGGAGAAATACTTTCAAGATGTTAAATACTTCTCTACATGACAGGATGGGTAATTTCTGTAACCTAGAGGCAAGGTAGGGACCATTATTCAGAATATTGGGAATCCAAAGGGTACTTTGCTACAGCAATGATTCCTCCTAGATCTGTGATGGCGAACCAATGGCATGTGTGCCAGACGTGACACACAAAGCCCTCTCTGTGGACATGCACACACCATTGGCAGCTGCTCTTTTGGTTTCTGGCAGGCACCTGCATGCCGGCCAGCTTTACATGTACCGAAGCGCCGGCAGCCCAAAGACCAGCTGGCCAGGGCGAATGTGTGTGCCGGCCAGCTTGATTTTTGGGTTTCTGGCACTCCGCATACATGAAGACCAGCTGACTGGCATGCATACATGTGCTAGAAACCCAAAAGAGCAGCTGACCGGCGTGCACATGTGTACCAACCGGCTGTTCTTTGGGTTTCCGGTGTGCGCACGTATTCCGTTTTGGGCACTCGGAGCCAAAAAGGTTTACCATCACTGTCCTAGAGTGTTAATCTCTACAATAAATTGGTGCCTCCCGATTAGAAAGGCTTTCCATGAACAAATGTGTGCATGTTTATCATGTATGGGCACAAATCAGTCTACAGTAATACGAATATGGGTTAAAATGCTGAACTTCCATCAAGGAGACCTTGATTCAAATCTTCACTTGGACAGGAAGTTCTGAGCGACTGTTTGTCGGAGAAAAGTGTGGATGAAAACGAAACAAATATATATTCAAAAGTATTTAAGTCTGCTCTCCTTCCTTCATGAATGGAACTGGGTCTTTCAGAGCAGTTTATTTGGAAAGTCTCAGAATGTGCAATTATACTAATATTTGACAAATCAAAATTAAATTTACTACCGGACCAGAGTCGGTCCATCCAAATTGGCATCTTCAGGTTCACACAGGAAGAGAGGGCAACGACTGTACCCCAAAAATGCAAAGATTCCTCCTGCTGAACATTTGCTCGATTCACTTACAGGGATATGGGATCTTGAACCAGGGAGCTACCAGGAGAACTCCTTGCCTGGCATCCGTGCGAGCGTAGAATCCGTACTTAGTCTTATCGGGCGTAAAGACATCTGTCACAGTAAAGATGAAACAGAGCAGCCAAGAAACCAGGATGGCTAGAATGATCTGCAAGAGGGACGGGAAGGCATTTAAAATAAGGTAGAACAAGCAACGAGAGCCAGTATGGGCTAGTGGTGAAGGCGCTAGGAGGTGGGAGTTCTAGTCCTGCCCTGCGCACGAAAGCCAGCTGGGTGACTGTGGGCCAGATCCTCTCTCTCAGCCCCACACACCTCACAGGGCTGTTGTTGTGGGGGAAATAGGAGGAGGAAGGTGTGCGGAACATGTTCGCTGCCTTGAGTTATTTGTAAAAGTAATAAAGATGTAAGGTGTAAGTAAACAAAATGAAAATGAGGACATGTGTTGAGAGCTAAGATTGTTGTGTTTAACACAGCACAATTACTTTCAGATTAAAAGAAAAACTTTCGTCGTTTTGTTAAATGTTCCACTTTAAACGGGGTCTCCCCATACAATTTCCCAAACTGGGACAATTTCCAAGGAAGTACTACCCGTATTTTTTGGACTATAAGGCGCACTGTAGTATAAGACACATCAGGATTTTGAAGAAGTAAATTAAAAATAAAAGGTTTTTGCACTCTGCAGGCCTCCCAAACCCTCTGCATGCCTTTTTTGTGAAAAATGGGGCATGCAGTGTTTTAGAGGCCTGCAAAGTGCTTCTGGGGGCAAAAATGAGCAAAAAACGGCCCATTTTTCATGAAAACAGGCCCATTCTATGTGGTTTTAAATTACAGGTAGATATTTATTCAACAGATTTGTGGTGACATTTATCTTTTTCTTCCATCTTATTTTCTAGTTTACCAATATTTATTTTTTCAGTTAGCATGAGGCTTACCATGTCAAACTTTTAGGGAGGACTAAACAGGTTGCGTTCTTTCTCAAAGCTTACCTTAGACTTGATGATGTAATTGCGAAAAAATTACAGCCTCTTCTACATTTGAAAAAAATAACAGAGCTTCTATACTGATAATAATCAACATAAAGCTTACTTACCGGAAACATTTTAAACAGCTGCAAGCGATAGGCAGTCCATCCTTTTTTGGACTTGTAAATGGGTAACGGTAATTTGACATTTCGGGCATACTGAGAAAACAACAGCACTAAGAAAATAGTCCTGAAAAGATGAAAAAGAATCACTATTATTCCATCAGCATTCCCATAATTTAATAGATTTTTTTTAAAAAATCAGTGAAATAAATTCCTCTCCCCTTCAATAGGACTGCAAAAGACATATTTTTTTCCCCAGATTAATTAAAGGCTTGGGGCAAAGGATAGGAGGGCTGGGTCCCTATTTCATCTGCTGTGTTTGTAATGTATTTTAATCTGTTTTTGTTACATGCTTTGACACTTGCAAAGGTTCAATAAATCAAGTGAATTAAATATATTGGTGGTCTGAATAACCTCTGTAGTCAGTGAAGAGAGAAAATATTTCATCTGCCATCCACCATCATTTACTGTGATGCATTTTAATTGTAACGGTTCACCAGTGAGAATTTTGATTCATCCAAATGCTTTTGCACCACCAACCTTTGACTTTCCCAAATTCAGGTTGGTTTTGTGATTTCTTTCTTGAAAGGACTTCATAAGGTGCATTTAGCTAAAAGGAATCATTCAAGTAAAAATACCAACATTGGAGAGGCACGGTTCCATGACAGGGACCCTGGTGGCAAAGAAGGCTGCCTCCAGAAACGGTGGATGCTCCATCACCGAGATTTCCAGAACAGAACGGACAACCATTTGTCTGATAGGCCACGGGGTCTCCTGCTTGAGCGGAAGTGTGTGTGTGTTGGGGGGGGGGGGGAGTTGGACTAAAGAACACCAAGGTTCCTTTCAACTCTATTGTTCTATCTCTAAGCATTTTCCACTGATGCAAAAGGGATTGAAGCCACACAGACGATCACCAGGTTAGGTTCTGTTATTACACAGCCTCACGCATGACTGGTGGCACAAGCAACATATATCCAATTATCAGGAGAAGCTGCACAAAGTGTATATTGTTGAAGCAGCGCCAAGCCCCACTGCGCACCAAGTGACATTTGGAATGCACGGTTCCTTTGTATTCCATAAAGAGGAGAGCACAAAGTTTATTAAAGGTGACCTTTATGTAACAGTTATCCTAAGATAACCTTAGCAGTCCAGGTCCAGGTTCTTCTCCCTTGACTTTAAGTGCTGCATTTTGGTGGCACCTCTGGAGGCCGGTCACCTGTGCGCCATTTTTTCTTTTGCTGTCTTTCAGTTTGCATCATTATCTCCTCTGTTACTGTTGTGTAATTTTTCTCCCACTCCCAAAGCAATTTATAAATAGAGTATTGGCATCATACCAAGGATGACCTATTTACAAGATACTCTTTTTGGAGACTGGCTAAGTGGGTAAAAAGCCACCCTCCATATTGATTGATAATGATGTTCTCCCGCTCAGAGTAGCAAGTGACTGTCATCACTGAAGCTGGCCTGACTGAGGCCATCTTGAGACTTCGGTGTTGACACATAGAGCCAAGGGATAGGGAAGGGAGGAATAGAGATAGTTGGGGTGTTGTAGCCAAAACAAAATACTTTCTCTTGGGAACCAAGGACGTTCCTGCAGGTGCTCAGGAGGAGGGGCCTGGAGTCACCTAGCAACTGGACAGTATCCTGATTGGACCATGTGACTGATTGCTTTGAGAAAGTGACCAACTTTCACTTTTAATTAGGTGAAAACCGAGGGAATATTCAGGGTCAGTTTTGCCAGCCTGTGCCAATATGATATATCCAATAAGCCTATTCTTTGAGAAGATTGCCTGCCTCAGAGTTTTGTTTGCTATGGATATTTTACTTGGAAAAACCAAGTAAACCGGTTCTTCTAAACTTCACGCTCCAACCGCAGCTGCTATCTTGGGTCCTGAGCCCTGACCGCTGATCCGGTCTACCCGGGCAGCGGAAAAACTCAGGGAAGATCGACAGTGACACCTGTACAATATTGACAGCCGGCTGACCAAGAATACTTACAGCATGGCTATGCCCCAGTGTTTGCCTGCTCTCTCGCCTGCAGCCTGGAACCCGGAGAGCCCAATGAGAGCTACCGTGGGTGTGATAGTCAGAGGTCCAATGTATCGCAGGAGTGCTCCGGGCAGCCCCAGGAACCCAATGACCACTTCTATCAAAGAAGACATGATAATAGCACCTTGGATCTGAACACAGAGATAAGAAAGAAGCCTTCATTAGATTCCTCCCCTTCTTCCCGTTTTTCGTTTTTAACAGATGTGGTTTAATATTTCTGCAGAGAGTTTTGGAATTGGTCATGAACCGCAAGTCAAAATGAAATCAAATGATTAGGCAGAACTGGGTAACGGCATATGTTATGCATTTGAGTGCTTAAGCAGCAAGCTTCCCAGACTAAAGACCCTCAGAGGTGCATGCTCTGCTCTCATCAGAAGACGACTCAACCGAAGGATTACTAACCTCATCTGTCTCTTACTGCTTAAGCACAAAGCTTAGGTTGCAACACACAACGGGGGTCATTAGACCAAGTCTGGCAGTTGTGTCAATAGCCACATCACACGGTCATTACAAGAAGACCTGGGTTCCAAGCTAACCTTTCAAGTTCTCAGGATTGGTGATGCCACGAAGGTGATGCTCTTAGCTCCTAGGGGGGCAGAGGGTATGATGCATTTGGTCACCCATGCTCTTTAGAAGCTGGCATAGAGCAGCGCAGTGGTCTCAGGAGACTGCCAGCTCCCCCTTGGCTGCAGGCCTCTTGGCAGGATGGAGCTACGGTTTGAACATGGGGAAGAGAGAGGGGACGTTTTAAATTGAGGAACAACTGGCAGCCCATAGCAATGGGATGGGTGAAAAGTTCCATGTCACACGTGTGCACCAGATCTATATTTGATTATCCTTCATTGTTCTAGATTCTTAAGGACCAAGAACGCCTAAAATATTGGGGGGGAAGAGGAGTAGCGCAACAAGACTGACAAATCATCTATAGAAAGCAAGGCAGTGCTTCTCACTCTGAGTGGCAAAAATGCAGTAAGGCAATGCAGATTATTCTCCCTATAATAAGCCTTTGACTGCACAGCTACATAAATGACCCAGCAGCCTCTTATCAGTTACTTTGTTATCATTACTGATGAGAAGCACTTGCATGCCATGAAACAGAGACTAATCATCACTCCTTAGCATGACAGCATATCCTTAGCAACCACGGTCTGAATCTCATGCAGTTGGGGACTTGGCGATCACAAAGAGAAGGACGGGGAAGGTTAAGCTCCATACGCAAAGGACTTGTAGGGGATCACAGAGAGAGTCAGCCAACAGGTGGCCGGCCCAGTGCTGAGTAGATGATGCAAGTTTACCTCTCGTATTCTGGGGTACCAGATATGTTCTGTGCTCAGCAGCTCCGAGGTTCCGTTTGTAGCCATCACAGCTTGGAAGGTTAAAAAGAAACACCTCTCGTTATGGCAAAATAATAAGCGGTTTTCATGTACATTAAAAACTTCGCTTCTTCTTCTACTTGGCCCCCTGTTGCCCCAGATCATATATACAAAGCACATTTTATATATATAGAATGATCCATTCTGTTGGTCAGTTTAACTGCCTCCCCACAGCCACTGAAAAACCCCACAGAATTGAAACGATGCCTTGGTGAGATGGTAGTAACTGAACCTGTAGCATGTACTGCTCAAATGTACTTTTTAATAACAGTGTTAGGAACATACGTATATATTGTCCTGTTTATTCTCAGGTAGAACAAAAAAAAACCACATCTCTTCTCTGGCTTTTCAAAGTAATAACTGCACAGAGAGATAGCTTCTTGTTCCCACCTTACAGTCACAAATACTAAACCCAAACTAACCACATTGTGCCCTGTATAATATTTTATGATCTGTCTTATATAAGATTGAATTGCCCTTATTTTTTGTGTGAATTGCAAAACATCCCTTCCTGGTCTTGTTCGATGATCTTGTTTAATCCCCTTCTCTACTGAGTTTTGACTGAAAGGTTAGTTGACCGAATTCTAATAAACAACAGAGAAATACCATATTTTTTTGAGTATAAGAAGCACCTTTTTTTGCACTCTGCAGGCTTCCCAAACCCTCTGCATGCCTCATTTTTGTGAAAAATGGGGCATGCAGAGAGCAAAGTGCCGGCAAAGTGCTCCTGGGGGCTGGGGGGAGGGCAGGGCAAAAACAAGCAAAAAATGGCCCGTTTTTTGCAAAAAAAACCAGGGCATGCATAGGCTTTGGGAGGCTTGTAGAGTGCTGGGGGGGGGAATGGCCCGTTTTTCGCTCATTTTTTTCCCCTCCCCAGCCCCCAACAAGCTTCCCAAACCCTCTGCACATCCATTTTTGTGAAGGCGTGGGGTTTGGGAAGCCAAAAATGCTATATTCAGTATATAAGATGCACCCAGGTTTTCACCCTCTTTTTTGGGGGGGGGGGGGGAATGGCCCGTTTTTCGCTCATTTTTTTCCCCTCCCCAGCCCCCAACAAGCTTCCCAAACCCTCTGCACATCCATTTTTGTGAAGGCGTGGGGTTTGGGAAGCCAAAAATGCTATATTCAGTATATAAGATGCACCCAGGTTTTCACCCTCTTTTTTGGGGGGGGGGGGGGAATGGCCCGTTTTTCGCTCATTTTTTTCCCCTCCCCAGCCCCCAACAAGCTTCCCAAACCCTCTGCACATCCATTTTTGTGAAGGCGTGGGGTTTGGGAAGCCAAAAATGCTATATTCAGTATATAAGATGCACCCAGGTTTTCACCCTCTTTTTTGGGGGGGGGGGGGGAATGGCCCGTTTTTCGCTCAT